AGAGAAGAAGTGAGTGATAAAAGAAACAGTAGTGACTCTATGTAAGCCACTTGTTATCAGTCTAAAGTCACTAGATCCTAAGCAACATCCACAGATATTTTGACGCTTATTTTGTACAGTGAAGCAAAACAATTGAAGATTGAAGAACCAATGGTAGATGTGAATAGGCAATTGTTCAAGCTCATAGTAATGATGGTGATTTGGAACCCATGCCTGTTTCCAAAGTTCTTGTTCTTTTGCTCATAGTTTATATTGTATATCACATCCATGCTAAGTCATCAAGACCAAAATAGCCTCATTTCTGCTCCCTAAAAGTCCTTTCATGCAAGGATTCAATTCTGGTGAGGACAGTATATTATGATAGATGCTTGTGAGCTTCGGTATGTTCAAGCATCAGGGAGAATTGTCTCAGCTAAGCTGTGGTCTAGCCAGTAAACAACCAGAGTGGACTCTAACCTCTGGAAGGCAAGGAATGACTGTCACAGGGCAGAAAGTCAAGGTTTCTGGCTGAGCAGCCAGGCTCTGTTTCTGTTAGGAATCGGGATCCACTAGGCAGGATGACCCCAGTACTTTACTTGAAGATGCTGCCCAAGATCCACTTCAAGGAGGAGGAGCTCCAGGGCTGCACCACACCTGTGCCCCACTGGCTCCCAAGAAAGGGATTCATTCTACTCAACAGCTGGGCAGGGCCGGAGAGGCAATGACTCCTGCTGGGATCAAAGTCTGTGTTTGGAATCAAGCACATCTCTTTTGTTTCCTTATGAATAGAGTTCTATTTTTCTGGTCCAAGTATAGCTCATTAGAATTTCCAGGGATATTTCTTTTACCAAGAAAAAGAAGACATGCAGGTGCAAAAGGACACCTGTGCAGGTACACAAGAACAGGTCCACATCAAAGAAATATTCAACCAGATAAGAAGGTGGCATTGCTGATATATCTGAACAATTCTCCAGTCTCTGAAATGTGGAGGCCATTTCTCTTTCTCTTCATGCTTCAAGTTTGAAGCCTGATGTCCATCCAATCAAGTTCTTAGTCTACACTCCAGAGCTTTCTCTGTCACGATAGAAATGCTCCATATCTGCAGTGTCACACATGGCAGCTGGATGTGGCTGTGGGACACTTGAAATGTAGCTGGTGTGAGTGAGGATATGAATTTTCAACTTTATTTTATTTTAATTAATTGAAATGTAAAGGCAAATGGCCACATATGGACTGTGGCCACTGTACTGCTCAGCACAGGTTTAGATACGCAAGCTGCATAGAGACAGCAGCTCCGCATTACCCAGTCCTGTATTCCCAGTGCTGTTGCAGAGCCTGCCACATACTTTGTACTCAATAAATGTTTCTTGCTTGACTGAATGAGGGAAAGAAGGTAACATTTCATTGAAGTATCTTACTATACTAAAATGGAAAAAAGAGTAATTCCTTTCTTAAATTCTGTAATTTTCACTTTTATAAATTTTGGCAAACTACAGTTTAAAATAATATTAGAATCGTAATTGTTAACACGTATGAACTGTTCAGTGTGTGAAAGTTTTTATGATAATTACTTAGTTTGATCATTACAATAACCCCATTTTTCAATTGAGGAAACAGAGCCTGAGGGCTAAATCATTAATTTTAAACTAAGGATTGTGGCCATTGCTGGGAAGAAAAATCAATTAAGTTGGTCCCAGCTCACCTAGATAGGTACAACGTGTGTGTGTGTGTGTGTGTGTGTGTATATTTTTTTATTCACAGCTTTGCATGTTATGTATGTGTGTGTTTACACATATGAAAATGTTTGATAGCTATTAGATTAAATAACTTACTGAAGGATAGTCAGCCAGTTAATAATAAGTTGGGATCTGTAATCAGACTATCTGATTTCAGGCCTTATGCCTTAACTGGTATGCCCTATAATAGCCTATGGGTTTGTAATAGCGTCATCTAAATTTTACAAAACTGAACTGCACATAAATCTCAAGAATCTCACCCAAACATAAAGCATGCGAGGTGTGTGTGTATGTGCGTGGACACACACTTACTTTGAGTAATGTATAATACCTTTTAGATTTAGTCTATTGTCTCTGGCAATGGCCCAAGGAAAATCGATTGTATTTTAAATATCTCTAAATCATCCTGAAGGATTCTACTTTGGCAGAGATTTCTGGGGCTCACCAACATGTATTTTCCCTTTATATATTAGGTACCATTAAGCTACATCTTGCATTTACTTTAAAGTTAGGTGGGGCCGTCTATCATGTTCTGGCCCCTGGGATGTGAGCAGAAGTGTACACAGTTTCTAAGACCAACCTCTAACATCCATGGCCTGGTCCTTGCGGGTGTTCCCCTTTGGCTCATCGACACAAGGGATGGTTAGAATGAACTCTGCAGCCTGAAGGGTAGGCAGAGTCACAAGAAGGAAGGAGTCTCAGCCTTGAAAGACCCTACGGAGCACAGCCCACTAGTCTTCTGACCATGGTAGAAGTGAAAACCAGTGTTTTTTGTCATATTATACCATGATTTGTTAGTTGTTCCAGTATTTATCAAACCCTGACTAATAGATCCCTTTAACTGATGAGATATACACACAAAACGAAAACAAAAACACAACAAAATAATCTGGGATCTGTCTCTCGACTCCCAGCCATCTCCACTGCCTCAGAATAAATGTGGGCTACAGTGCTGGCCATTTATTCCTGGAGTCAGGTGTGGGTAACAAGTCTGTATCTGATATTTAGTTCCCATGTTTGGGGCCATCAAAGGACAGCGAGTATTCAATCATTTAGTAACATGACTTTCCATTTGTGTAATGATTTGTAATTTCAAAAGTACTTTTTCCGATACATTATTTCATTTGACTAATTGAATAGGAACAAGTACCCCATTTTACTGCTGAAGAAGCTGAGACTGTAATATAGTAAGCTTTACCTGAGATCTCACGAATGTTTTAAGAGCAAGGATGTGATTCACATTCCTGTCTACAAATCCCAAGCCCAGTAACTTCCTAAGGAGAAGGTAAGGGGCAGCATGATTCTTGAAGCTAGGTTTGAGGTTTGCAAGCAAACTCAAGCTCCTATCTACTCACAAGAAGAAAATCATTAATAAAATGTGATATTCTAAGCTTTCCAAAGTATGTCTACAATTGCCATTTCACTTGATCCTCATAACCCCATGCGGCACTCAGGACTGTGATCCCCATTTTAAACACAAGGAATCAGAAGTCCAGAAAGATTAAGTTTACCTAGGTACATAACTTGTGGAAAAAAGGTAAAACAAAATCTCGTAACAAAATAATAGGGAATAACAATAGTTAATACATTACATGGTGTTATCTTTAAAGTAGTTACTCAGGATACAAGATAAGGGCAGGTACACAAGCTGTAAGGGAAAAATTAAGATTAGAACCAGTGTCTCCCGACTCCAAGATTTGAACTACCATTGCTAGATTATGTTTCTGGACTATCCCTGATCTTAGAGTATATTTTGCCCAGAATGATTATTCCTTGCCAGCCAAATTTTGTCTTCTAGGACTCAATAGCTTTGTACAAACTGGACATTTTTCTCATTTTATTTCTAATGCATTTTAGTTCAGGGGAAATCAATAACTTCAAAAAAGGTGGAAACATTCCCTAATCTGCTAGTTGCCTCTGATTTTAATCTCTCTTGATGTTTATCATCAGAGAGGAAGGAACGCTCTGTTGAGCGCCATGGCATTTGACAGTGGCTGGTGTTTGTGCTGTGGGAGTTGTCATTGCTCTGGTAAGGCCAAAGGTGGGAAGGGGGCATACAGCACATCACAGGCCCTTGGATAATAAAACCTCAGGCTCTAATTCCCACGCGGTAATCTAACAGCTACTTGACAAAAACAGAAGAGAGGAAAGGATGAAGAAAGGGTACAGTATGGCAGGGGAGAGGAAGGGAAGATACCTGACAACTAAGAAAGAAAGGCTGGACCACTGCTGGGCATGAGTGTGTTTCATTTCTCCCACGATCATAGAGGACTGAAGGTAATTTTGGGAACAGAAAACTATGAATCATTTTGATGATTCAGATCAAGAAGCAGTGGACATGCTACCCTAGGAGTGATGGCAGAGGGTGTGGATGAAGAAGGGTAAGGAGAGCCAGTGGCTGAATGGTGGCCCCACCAAGTTCTAACCCCCAAACCTGTGGGTGTTCCTGTATATCACAAAGGAGGTTCAGGATCCTTTAAGGAAGAACTCTTCTGAGTTATATGGATGCCTCAAACACAATCTCATGTATGTGAGAGAGGCAGGGGCCCTTTTCAGACAGAGACACAGAAGGAAAGGTGAAGTGAGGATGGAGCAGAAAGAGATGTGTGAAACTGACCAGGAAATGCTGGCAGCCACCAGAAACTGACAGATAAGGAATAGATTCTCCCCAGAGCCACCTTGATGTGTGACTTCTGACCTCCAGAACTATTCAAAAATAAATTTCTGTTTGAACCATAAGGGTTGTAATAATTCGTGTAGCAACTCTAGGAAACTAACAGACGGGGATTGTAATCACAACATTTTGAGTTAAGAATTAAACATCTATAGAGAGGTAAACCCCTGAGGATCTAAGTTTGCCTATATCCAGATCATAGAGGAAGCAAAAGCATCCAGTATGCAAGACCACAAAGACCTCAGACTTTGGCTAGCTAGTACCAAGGATAATTCCAAGATAATTTTGTTTGCAAAACTGAAATGTAAAGCAGAGTAATTCTGGGTTATTCTTATGGCTTAGTTCTAAAATATCCCTCAAATCTTTGTGTTCAGAAGTAGGGTTTTGGGGAGGTGATTGGATCATTTATGCATGGTCTTGGGTGCTACACCTGGTCTCCTCATCCTTCTTTCTCTATCACTGTTCCCTCATCTATTTCCTGGTCACTATGACTAAGTAGCTTCACTCTGCCATGCCCTCCCATTATGCTGTTCCTGCCTTAAAGTGTGTTGACCATGTACTGAATTTCCAGAAACATAAGCTTAATAAATCTTTCTTCTTTTAAATTGTAGGTGTCAGTCATGGGATCTCAGGGTCCAGAAAACAGACACATACAGTTACTTTGAAAATTGAAATGGCTAACAGACTGGTGAGTAACAACTTGAGCTTTGTAAGTTATGAACATAATGTAATTATGATCTCTATAATACCCCTCCAGTAAAATAGGCAGACACACACACACACACACACACACACACACACACACACACAGCACCCCTCCCCTCAAGACATATACACAGACCTTAATGCAGCATTCTGCAACCCTGGGAGAAATCCAGGAATTTAGAAAAGTCAAATTAGTAGAAAATGAATCTGAAATGTTATCCAAAGTGTATACAGGGTTTACAGGTAATTGTTCTTTTAACATAACAAAGTCAAAGTTATATCAATAGAAAGAAAAGTATAACTTGTACAAGCACAATGAAGCTCTTTTTTACAATAAATTCAATGCAGAATACAATGTGACTAATTTTTAGATATCTTAGGGAAAAATGAAATGCAACCTATAAAGACCCCCTCTCTATTCCTCTCTATATCCCAGTACCTACCTACCCAGGACACAGAGTTCATACTTTCCCTCTCTGAGCAAGAAAACTAGGCAGAATAGAAAAGACACTGAATTCATAGTAGAGACAAAACAATCTACACCTCGCACATTTGGATTTAATGATTTCTGAAGGAGGGGTAGTATTTCAGAAAAAATATTGTGGACTGAAATAATTTTAGGGGTGGGCAGAGTTTGAGGGACAAGAGGACACGGTCTCCTCAGGGAAGGAGGCTGCAGCCACTTGAAACACCACTGGAGCTCAGGGTATGACCATGGAGGACAAATGAGAATGTGTACTATGAGGCCTGGCTATTTCTTGCACTGGAGGGAACATGATATATCAAGGCCTTATCTCCTGGTCCTTTTCCAGGCTACCTCAGTGCCACCAGAGCCTACTTCCTCCGAATGAAAAATACTTAAGCCTTTGTGGGTGAGGAGGTGTTCTGTTCATGGAAGAGGTGTGTAGTGCATGCAGTATTTGCACCAGCGGTGGTGGTGTTAGCCCCTCCACAGCGAACAGAGTGGGGAGTGAGGTGAGGTGAGTAGGGGAGTCTACCCACAGTGGAAGTCCAGTGAGAGACTGTGAAGTTGATGATTTCAACTGTTCTCCTCAGAAAATGACAGAAATGGGTAGTTAAACCAACTACACAAAAATGTAAGCATTCACTAAACCCTATTCCATCCTCCCATTCCCTTTGGAAAAGGAACAAAACAGAAAAATAGGATTCCAGCTCCAGAATTTAGCTGTGTATCTGAGTAAGTTACTTAATCTGTGTTCCACTTCCATCTTCCATGAGAAGATCCAATGAGTCCTACACAGTTTCAGAACTAAATGAAGGAATGACATAATTCAGTATATAGACCCTCGGTCAGCCCTAAATCCCCTTGAAAGCAACAATATCTTGCAGAGTCCAACTAACATCTGAGATGAGACAGAGAACTCAGAACTCACTCTGTTCTCTTCAATCAGCAGCAATTACTTCCTTCACACCTCATATTCCTGATGAAGTTCTCTGTTTATATGATCACCTCCCAAACTGGACCTCCTGGAAGAGTTTTCTTACCACAAAGAAGAAATCTTAGATCCAGAATTGGGCTTCCATCCTCCCATGTGATATCTTCATGAAAGTGTTATTTCTGCAGAAACCATGCTGATTAACTATAGTCATTTGCTGTTTTTACAAGGGGTTGTCACAGCGCAGTCAAACCCTCCTGCTAAGTTTTGGCTATCAGCAAAGCAACAGCAGAAAGCAGGGTCACTCAAACCCAGAACTCGCCCTGTGGCCACTCTCTTTCTGCCCCTCAGTCCTAACTTTCTTGCTGCCAAGGGAGCAGCCAGAGCCAACAGGTCACCATGGGCCTTCACCTCGGCTCTGCCAGGAAGAGGAAATACAAGATCAGTACTCTCTGCCGACCATTCCTTTCCATTTCATTAGGTCAGCAAAAAGCAGAACCAGCAAAAAACCAATTTTTCCTTTAATTTTAATACTGTCAATTGTAATAAACTCTATTAAGTTGCACTGGCAGACTCAGACTACTTAGTATTTGTTCAAGGAAATTAAGTCGTACACCTCATACACTGCTTTAAGTGGATATTTGGTTTTAGAATAAGACTACAGCCTCTCACTGTACTAATGAATTCTGTTGACTGTTAAAGATCTGGGGCGCATGCTGAGATTGTGGGATTACTTGATTCATCTAACACTAGCAACTCACCTAATCTGATGTATAAGCAAACAGATAATTATAAGTTCTGAGATGTTGGAAATACTTAATGGCATCTATCAATATACCCACGCAGACCCAACACACCCATGGAACCTTCCGTGATACTTTCCAAACTTAAGTGGAGGCCTGATTTGCATGAGCTTACAATTCAGACCTAAGTGCTTCTTAAACAGTTGAGATAAATAAAACTTTATCATATTATGGCAGAATACTGAGTGATGGTAGGCAGCTGAGTAACAGATGGCAACCACACCCCCAAAGAAAGGACTTTTTTTGTTTGTTTCCAGGGATCTGCTGGTCTCTTCCCAGGTACTCCAGAGGAAAGTGTGCTCTTGGGTTGATGCCTTTCTTGGACTGACAGCCAGTGAGTGGCTGCCACTGCTAGCTATGCAGGGTATGCCTGGGTCAGAAGGACAACAAAATCATAATCTTTGCCCTCAATACCATTTCCAGGTAGAGAGGACAAGGAAGTTCTGAACTCAAACCACAAAGCCACAAGCTTTTAGACATACCTCTGACCTGAGAAAGACAATGGGAACATGTTGGCTGGTAGAACTTCACAGTTCTCTGAAATGAACTTCTGACCCATACTTTTAGGTTAGAGTTTAAACACTGTCACTTGAGATGGAGATGTTGGCAGACTCCTTAACCAGCTCACAGGTGAGGGTCAGGCTCCTACCTGTTTCTCTTTCCTTCCTCTCACCATTCCCAGTTCTGTCACAAACCTCAGCCCCTCCACACTCAGCTCCGTCCTCTGAGGGTTGTTGAGTAGCTCTTCTCTCTGCAAGAGCAGAGCATTCTTCCCTCAGCATTCTTCCCTTGAAACTCAGAGACCATGCTTACCTTGTCTTCTGCTATTTCCCTGATACATTGCATGATTTATGGCACATACTTATTAAATATTAACACTGAGTAGACAACAGAGAAACTAGAGGTCTACAAGTGTGTACATGTTTGAAGTCAACAGTGAGAGTCAGAGAGGAAGGGAGAGAACTTCAAATCAACCTATAGATGGTTTTATTTCCCGAGCACATGCTGTCTTTCCCATATAATCAGAACTTGAACATTTAAAATATAATAGTCAAAAAAGGCACTCTTATTTTTTAATTGTCCTTAAAATATAAGACTTGGGTGAACATACCTCCAAGCCCTTTAACTTCTTAAATTCTGAAATGTAAGCTTCTCATTCACCTCCATTTGGAGTGTTCTCCCTTTATGGCTGGCCTATTTCCTCTGTTTGGTTAGCCTGACTTGCTCATAAGACTCAGCTCCTGGGTCTTGGAGCTAGGCTCTATTCTTTGGCTCGGGCTGAACATGCAAGATTTTCCCTTCATCAGGCTAATGAAGTAAGAGTCTTATGTCATCATTAGCGCTGGTGTTAATCCAAGCAGAACTAATATTGATGTTGTTCCAAATGGAATTAACCAAGCCCTGCCCCCAACAAGCCAGATGTTAGTCAAGCATTTCTTACTGATGTTAATGAACAATTCCCTTGGTTTCTACAAACAGCTGAGTCCACTGAATGAACTTCAGAGACCCAGCAGCAAACTGCCTGCCTAATTGAGATTTGTCCTAATGTCACCAGGTAGCAGGATCCTGATACACTGAGGAACTGGCCACTTACTTTCTTGCTTCTTCTTTGAACCTTTTAATGAAAGCATTCAGTAGAGACATATGTGGCCATGCAGAAGTATAGGTAGAATTTATTGCAAAGTAGCTGTAGAGAGAGTTATGCCTTCAAGAGAGAAGGCAAGCAATGTCACAAAGATACCTTTTATATGCACACAGAGGTCACTCCTGGAGTTTGGAGAACCATGATGATGATCACTGTTTTATTTGTGCAATGTATATCCTTATTGACATTTCTCTTGGGAGTTATTCTCTTTGGAATACCCATATCTCAGAACTGCCGTCCTTGTTATTTTCAGGTGGTCATTGGTCCCTCATGAGACTTAATCATATAAAAGTCTAAATCAGTTCTCACCCCAAAGAGGAAGGGCTTTTGTTTTGTTTTTGTTTTTGTTTTTTGTCTTTTTAAGACAGGGTCTCACTATACAATTCAGGCTGGCCTTGAGCTCACTTTGTAACCCAGGCTGGGCTTGAACCCAGGAAGATCATCCTGCCTCAGCCTCCCGAGTGCTGGGATTACAAGTGAGTGCCACCACACCCGGTTTAGAGGAAGGGTTTTTAAAGAACATCCATCTTTCTGATATTATTGGGCATAAGTCATGGCACCCAAGAATGCTTATGTCTTGTTTTGGAAATAGATAGCCAGGTGGTCAGACATCATAAGGAATGTGCACAGTGTGTAACCTTAAACATCATTGTACTCTGTGGCATTGCTTTGGTCTGAGACCTAACGAATGATTATAAATGTATTATACAATGAGTTCATTATTTGTTTACTTACCTATAACTGGCAATGTGTGCTATATTGAACACCCACCTACTTTGCCCCTTGGATTTGCTAATGTCTAACTATCTGCCTAACAGAAGGCAGCTACTAAAGACTTAGGACTTGAGAGCTAAAAGCAGAAAAGAGTTCCTTTCTCTGAATAAATAGCCAAGGACTCTGCCACTGCTCACTATACAAAGAGCTGGGCACATGGGCCAGTAACAGGCCCAAGGAGCTTTTTAGGAGGTGTTTCTTTATAAGTCCCTCTCTTCTTCTGTGCCTGCCTTAATAGCTGGAGTTGCATGTTGTATTTATTTCTTCCAGTGTCTTCCCATTTCTGTATCTGGCACCTGGTTGAGAAAGCATCAAACTATTGTCTAGGCATAAATTATGATTGAATGTCCTTTTGAGATCGTTT